AAACAGCTGAATATCCAACAATGCAGTAAGCATTTGGGGTCAGGTTGTTCAAAAAATAATGTATGTCTTCAAATGCAAGAACTACTTTCAGCACAGAGAGACACCCACACTATGAGAGGCTGGTGGAAAGAGCAGGTATACATCTATAATTCCTGAAGAATAAACTCAAAATTATCCTAACCTTGTAAGTGATTGTCCTCCCTCTCTCCACCTCTCCCTTTCAATCTCTGGTTTTAAGTGGCAGATAATGCCAAGAACATATACAATAAATGAAATGACTACACAAAACTGGAGTACCCTAGAGGGGCTTCACAAACGTTACTAATTATACACTGAAATCCACACAGAGTTCCAAGTAAATTATATTTCTTGCTTTCATAGAAAAGGAATATAATACAGGTAAGCCATCCAACAACTCAAGTAAAATTAAAGACAGATTTTTCCATTAAGTAAACATGTCTGTGTTTCTAAAATGTTTTGAAAACCCACAAATATAGCATACAAACACTGCTAATTAGAATTCAATAATAAACATCATCCTCTGTAGAAAGAATTTTCAAAAGTGAGGGAAAGGATGATGACAGAATAGAAACCAAACAAATACAAGCATCTGGATTTTAGTGGACCTGATCATACTAATATTAATAATTATAGAATGAACTGGTAAGGAAATTAGCAGCAGTAACTTTCAGCTTTCCCATATAAGTTGCTCCTTTCTAGCTTCTTTCTATGAGAAATGAAAAGAGAACTTTCAGCTTTAAAAATCTGACCATATTTAGTTCTGAAGGCTCCCAAAATATGCATATTATAATTAAAGTACACTTAAAATATAAGAGTATTTACCTTAGCACCAGAGAATCGTTCACATTTATGCATTGTTTATTGAGAGAATAAAATTATTCTCTCCAAAAAGTTGCCACAACTTTTTCTATTATTTGTTCTGAGAATGTAAACCTTAGAGTAAGAAAAAATAAAAAGAACGCTATGGTGCTTGAATTAAATATTTTATATGATTATATCACAATGACATCTTCTTTAGTCTAACATAATCAGTATTCTATATTTGTTGCTTGCACAAAACCATAATTACTCGCTGATTTGATCAAAATTACTAGCTGACTTGAGCAATTCAGTCAGCCAGTCAGCCTTCGGGGTAATTAGTCAAATCAACAGTCTATCAAAGTGACTAATATATCTCTGAATCATGGATTAAACTATCTACAACATCAAGGCAATTCTTAGATTTGTTCCAAAACCTCAGTTCATCTTGTTTAACTCCATAGGTTATTTTTCTCGTAATTTAATTTACTCTGTACACAGTTGAGAGTTTTTCCTCCCCTTCAAGGAAGAAAATGAAAGTGACAATAAAAACCTTTTAAGGACTTTTTTATTTCAAAAAAGTAAAATAAAAAAGTACAGAATTCAATGAAATCAGATACTCTTGTTTCAAAAAATAAGAGGAGGAGGAGAAGAGTTGTTTTTGTTATTGTGTAAGCGGGGGCACAGTCAAGGAGAAAGAGACAAAAATGGATTCTTACCAATCAAACCACTTCACAGTGCCTCAAATTCCATTAAAGGCCACAATTCTGTTGATTTGATGCCAGATGCCTCTAAATGTTCTTACTCAAGAAAAGTATGTTTTTTGAAAGAACAAGGAAAGCAATACATTTAAAGGCTAGAGAAAATTTTCTTCCATTTACTTGGGTCAGTGAAACATCCATCATACAGAGACACAAACACCTTACAGAATAAAAGATCAGAGGAGTTACACTAGTAGAAGATCAAAGAGCCAGTGCCTCTGGGGGAATCAAACAAGTAACTGCCTGAACAGAGCCCCCTATGATTTCTCAAGTAAATCTAGCTTATGTGATTGGAGGGGAGAACCACAAAGCAGAACATGCTGTCCCAAAAAAGTGATTAAAAAATAATTAATTCCAGTTTGACTCTCTCTCTCTGGAGAAAGAATCTTTTCAAAGTCATTAAGTGGAATAACTATATAATGGAAGTTTTAAAAAAGCAAAAATGTTTGAATTATCTACACACACTAACTACAACAAGGCATATGAAATTATTATATTCAGTCTAATAGCAAACCAGAAGAAATGAAAACATATTTAGTAAATGGTTGCAAAAGTATAAAAAGAAACTGGATGCTTTTAACAGATGCCCTCAGATTTCATTCCACCTGCGTGGGCTAAAAGGGAGCACTTGTCCATCCCTGTCACATGTGCAAGTAAAAGAACAAGTTGTCATTAAAACTGAAGGGTGTAAAATTTCACAGTAGAAATAGAACATGTCCAGAAATTTTCAGCATCCCAAAACCTTTGGCTACCAACATCAAAAACACTACGCTGAACAAAGTGCCTACTAAGTACCTGCCTTAAACCTGCCTATTAATATCTTTCTCCTCTAAACCTTTTATTTTAACTACATCTCCCTAAGGTGATGTAGTTTCTGCTTTGTGCTGTGATTATTTCAGAATCAGTCTGGTCTCCTTGAAGGTAGGGATCACATTTTTATGTTATTCATGTATTGATTTAGTAAGCATTTAATCCAAGAGCCCAAGATGTGCAGTGTGGGGATATGAATAAAATCTAGTCCCAGGCGTCAGGGATAAGCAGCTTACTATGGAGAGGTGTTTGCATCAGCAGGTAACAGTAACAGCCACCAGTGAGAAAAGCCACTGCTTATTGGGCACTTACTCTGTGCCAGGCACCACACTAAATTGTCTGTTCAATTCTTACAACCACCCACTGAGGTAGGGTGCCATCCCCATTTACAGATGAAGAAACTGAAGCCTAGAGAAAAGTGACTGGTCACATGGGTAGTAAGAAGCAAAGTCAGAGCACTGGGAGGACTGGATGGGAGCCAGGAGTCAATGGTCAGCTGTGATCAGAAGAGGGGCTTAGGAATGGCTTTACCAGGAAGGAACTCCTGCATAAATACCTTGTTTGCATAGGAATAGATCCGAGGGTTATACAAGGAAGCAATTCACTTAAGCAAATAACAAGAGTGCTGATAAAAACATGATGTGATTTCCTCCAATTCAGTCTCTAATGAAAGCTCTACATTTGTTTTTTGTTTGTTTGTTTGCTTGGCCATAAGGTCAACAGAACAGTGTCTTAAAACTTTCACCTATCACAAATCCAACTTTTAGAGATATTAAAAGATTGCAAATAGGCAAAACAATGACTTGAAGAAGGTGTAACAACTGGTTTACTAGTCATTGCTACCACCACAATGTATCACTCAGTCTAGAAACTTGGCATTTCAGCCACTACAGATATTCCATTTCCCTGGTTAAGTCAAGTCTAGCTACACAAATCGAGTCCAACTGGTTAGTAATTCTAATACATGTTAGAAATATAAACAAAACTGATTATCCTACCAGGAAAAAGAAAAAAGCACTAAATATTAATCACTTAAAGTATCTCAATTAATTACTTTATTCTAAAGGAAAAGATACGTTAACTGTATTGAGAGATAAACTACCCAAAATGCGGACTAAAAAATGTTTTTTTCTTCCCTTTCACATGGCAGATACTGATCAATAATATAAGGAATAGCCCATAAATTCAGCTGTATATATTCCCTGTTTTAATACAATTTAAATTAGCAAATTAAGATGTAATTATATGTGATTTTCTTGTAATTGTTTATGAAATACAAAACCATGTGATATTATATAAAATAAAAATAAAAATTCAAGTCATTCATCACATTGATCTTCATATTAAATCTCCCACTGTGGATCAGATTCTGCAATTTGACTCCTGGTTTTATAAAATTTCTGCTGATCATATTCATCTTCTCCATGTCACATAGTCCCAGATTTTTCCTCAAATAATTATAATACAAAGCACATTCCTGTATGTGCAATTTAAAGATCTGTGGCTTAGCCAGGTTTGGAATTTAACACTAGAACAAATCACACCATGAATCAAATAAATTGTGTAAGAAAGGTGGTTCTATTTTTACAGAGTTATGTACCAAATCTCCTTAACATAAACACACACACACCCGGGAGAAATGGATCTGTTAATGGATTACATCTTTTTGTTTTTGTTTTCGTTTTTTGTTTTTGTTTTTTTTAATTATACTTTAAGTTCTAGGGTACATGTGCACAACGTGCAGGTCTGTTACATATGTATACATGCGCCGTGATGCTTTGCTGCACCCATTAACTCATTATTTACATTAGGTATTTCTCCTAATGCTATCCCTCCCCCACCCCTCCACCCCATGACAGGCCCCAGTGTGTGATGTTCACCACCCTGTGTCCAAGTGTTCTCATTGTTCAATTCCCACCTACGAGTGAGAACATGCAGTGTTTGGTTTTCTGTCCTTGTGACAGTTTGCTCAGAATGATGGTTTCCAGCTTCATCTATGTCCCTGCAAAGGACATGAACTCATCCTTTTTTTATGGCTGCATAGTATTCCATGGTATATATGTGCCACATTTTCTTTTTTCTCACAGTGAGTGGCCAGGATATCAAGCTTCATTTATTGTAACTACAGGGTGGAAGTACATTCGTGACTTCAGATTTTGAACTGCAGTAAATACTTTTTTTTTAAATTAAGAGCTGATATATGGGATTTAGGCCAAGTTCATAGGTAAGTTATGATTTCAAAATATCTCATTTGATCATTGCTTTATTCTCCAATAGCCAAATGAAGAGAGAAACGTCATGGAAGAGGCAAAAAAAGGCTTTCAGCCCTCAAGCTCTACAGCTCAACAGGTCAGCAGAGTACTTCATGTGATAAATTTGGTTGAGATGGTTCACTTTTAAACATCATCTCCCACTTCCTAATTCTGATCATCCTTCTCTTGGGGGAAAACTTTAAATTCCTGAGTAAATTTCCTTGTCTTCATAAATATCTTCACTTGGGGTTTCAGGAAGTTGACAGGAAACCTGCTTCTCCTACTCCAGTTATTGTGGCCTCCCACACAGCCAACAAAGAAGAAAAGGTAGGTCAGACATCATACTCAAACCTCCCTCTACCCCATCCTCCTCCCCATCAATATTTGGAGAATACATAGGCCTCTGTGGTTTAAGAGACAGAATCAAGTTTCAGAGCAGCGGCTTTGAAATGGGATGATGTTTTTTTTGACTATTAAGAAAATTTTAGTTCTCACTTTGGATCATGAACCCACAGATAACTTCCCTTTAACAGTACTGTAAAACTTAATTACCCTCTTTTGTTTGCAGAGTTTACTCGAACTAGAAGTAGATTTGGATAATTTGGAATTAGAAGATATTGACATAACAGATATCAATCTGGATGAAGATATTTTGGATGATTGACTGTAATGCTTTCCATTTACCTGACTAAACAGATCATTATTATATATAGGTATTGATTGCTACCCTGACCACAGCGCTTTGGACTATGAGAAATTTCTTAGATTTTTATATGTAAATACTGTGGACCACTGGGAACATAATGCCCATATCATCTTAAGAAGAGTTTATGTGCAGCATTTAAATCACTGTGTTTTCCTTGTTAACTAAAACAGACATGGGCTTTGATTTTTTTCATACTATTAGACCGTATCTCCTAAAACCTTCTGAATTAATGGAAGATACTTCTGTTTCCTTTCTCAACAATGAAAATAGGCTTCTAGTTTTATAAGGCTGAGCCGAAACTACACCTTGCCTAGGGATCAGCCCCACTCTCTTTTCTTTGCATAACTAAATCTGCATTTTCAAATGCTATCAATCACATTTTTCTTAGAGCTGAACATCCATGCTGTAATTCTCTAAACTCTTTTTCTTGACCTCATTGCATCATTCCACAGGTCTTGCTCCAATTTTATCTAGCAGCTACCCATTTCTGGAGTCAGGATGTGAAACCTCTGTTCCTCTGACCTCATTAAGCTGGGGTCTGTCTAAATTACCGTTTACCTTATTTGGTAACACACACAAAAAAACCATACTTTTTAACTCTACGCTCATCTAACATGATTCAAGAAATTCATAACCAGGCACTCAAATATCCTTGTAGCCTAGAAAAGTGAATAGGGTAACAATTTTTGCTTTGTAGGGAGAACTACAAATTGATACCTTTTAATCTGGTCATTTTTTAACATTTAGCTCAATATTAACAGAGAAATGTAGTCAGTATTTAGTAAAATAAATGTATTTTGAAAATATTTTTAGGAAGCTGCAGAATGGTGACTGAGTGCTTCTTGATAAGTTTGCAGTGTTAGTTCTACATAGGCTCCCTTCTGTGCTTCTGTTTTTGCAAAGACCTTGATTAAATTTATTCCCTCAGCAGCCTGATCCTTGTCCTCTCGAGCCGACTGGCCGTCTGGATGGAGTATGTGATACAGCTGGACCAAGCTGGTTGCGTCATCGATTAAATCTCTCTGAATCTGGTCAATCAGCAAACCATCAATCTTTTTATTATTTACAAAATACCACACCATTCCACCAAAGTATCTTGTTGAACGTAAAAGGTCATATTTTCCGTGTTTATCTATATCTTCCATAGGTCTTGTGATGAACCTTGATATACTCAGCGGAATCTGGCTCAAACTGGGCAAAGCAGAGATTGAGGACATCGGCATGCCTGTCCTTGCTATACATAGTCCTAAGATTTTCTTCCTTGAAAATCATTGGTGTCAAAACTTTACGACCTTCTTTTGGGAAATAAACTTGCATCATCCAGTCCCGTTTTTCCCAAGAGGCTTTGCGTAGTGTGCCACTTGGTTCTCTAATGACAATAAAACGCTCCCGGTGTGGTATGCTATATGATATATCAGTAAACATATATTTGGTTGTTTCTGTTCCTTCCAAAATCGTATTTCCAGCTAACACATCATTTATTGGTACTCGCTCTTCTAGAACCGGTGGCATTTTTAATCGTACTTTAGCTGCCTCAACTGCCTGTTTTGTAGCCTCTTCCAATTGTGCCTGAGTTATTAGCTTATAGGTTGGTGGCTTCAGTTCTTGTACAGCTGTTTTAAAAGTCTTCCGCAAGTTCAATCCTGTCATTTTCATGAGTATGCTTTGAACTTCTTCATCCATAAATGTAGGTTTCTTGGTCTCTGGGCTACCAGATTCTGTGGCCTCAGAGCTGACCGGCAGCGTGGCAGCCCCACCTCGAAAGAGCAAGGTAGCGGTTGGAGCAGGCCACCATGCCAGGGCTGGATTCAAGCCCAGAAACAGACCCTTTCCACACCTGCAGAACCCCTCAGGAGGCTCCACAGCAACACAGTGGTTCTGAGGGGCGCCATGATTATCAGTGCCACATTTTCTTAATCCAGTCTATCATTGATGGACATTTGGGTTGGTTCCAAGTCTTTGCTCTTGCGAATAGTGCCACAATAAACATACGGGTGCATGTGTCTTTATAGTAGCATGATTTATAATCCTTTGGGTATATAGCCAGTAATGGGATCGCTGGGTCAAATGGTATTTCTAGTTCTAGATACTTGAGGAATCGCCACACTGTCTTTCACGATGGTTGAACCAGTTTACACTCCCACCAACGGTGTAAAAGCATTCATACAGCCAACAGACACATGAAAAAATGCTCTTCATCACTGGCCATCAGGGAAATGCAAAACCACAATGAGATACCATCTCACACAAGTTAGAATGGCGATCATTCAAAAGTCAGGAAACAACAGGTGCTGGAGAGGATGTGGAGAAATAGGAACACTTTTACACTGTTGGTGGGATTGTAAACTAGTGGGGGGTTGCTAACTGGTGCCTGAGAGGGTGCATGGTATCTCATTGTGGTTTTGAATTCCATTCTGGATGACCAGTGAGTGATGAGTACTTTTTCATGTGCTGTTGGCGCATAAATGTCTTCTTTTGAAAAGTATCTGTTCATATCCTTTGCCCACTTTTGATGGGTGTGTTGATTTTTTCTTGTAAATTTGTTAAGTCTTTGTAGATTCTGGATATTAGCCCTTTGTCAGATGAGTAGATTGCAAAAATTTTCTGCCATGTCTGTAGGTTGCCGTGTCACGACTGA